GTTGGAGAACCTAATAGACTTGTGAAGAGTGAATCTAATCCTGTTTGTATATCACGTAAAGAATTAATTATTGCTGAGCCTCTTCATCCCAAAGGATTCGAAGGCTTAACACAGTCTGCTATCGATAGTGAGCCAGAAATCCAAAGATCATCAGTTTCAGGTCCAGTTATTTATAGAAAAGATTTCTCACCAGAAAGTAATCACACTTCTGCCACAACTGTTACTCCAACTGCAACTAGAACTGTGACTACGTCAGTCACAGCAGTATCATCAGTTTTACCTGTCTCTTCTTTGTCTACTACAACTATTACCAATATGACAGTCACCCAGGTAGTAAGGAACATGGGGTTCATTTGTAGAGTAGATGAACTTATTTGCATGATATTTTGTGTAAATATATGTAGTCAGACTTTGATTTTCCAATATTTTCTGGATCTGAAATGATATGAGGTGCATGCTTAATCATCATGCTTCATTTAAAGGCATGTGTTTATTGATACTGATATATTTTTATCTCATGAATGTCTATTAAGGAAACAGACGATGTGAGTTTAGAACTTGATTGTCACTCAATCTTATTTTTTAGCTCATTTTTATTTATTTTCTATGGTGTATGCATGGTAATTATTATTGCTTATTCTGATTTCTTTTCTTACAATCTCATGGCACAGTTTCTCATGACAAAATTATATGTAAAGGTTTTATGTTACTGCAGAGACTTAGTATAAATCATTTACTTTGAAATACTAGAATTGATTAAAGTCCGTCAGATTTTGAAAATTGATTATAATAATAGAGACTAGTTTTGAAAACTTAATTCAGTGATTCTAAAAAGACATAGAATTGACAGTGATGAACAAAATTAAATAATTACAGATGAATATTGGAAATATGATCCATTAGTTTGTATCTTTTATCATATTTTATAAGTAACATGTAGAAGTTTCATGTTGATTGTGACATATTTAACGAGTACTTTCTAATTAATTTCATTGATATGTCATTGAAGTCTGACAAAAGATTATTGCCAAAGATGTCATATAATATTCAATATTATGTGTAATATTTCTTAAAATTTGAAGCATTTTTATACTGAATGCAAATCAGATAATATAGTAAGACCATTTGGAGAAATATCTATTTTCTCAGTCAAAGAATTAATATTTGATATAGTTAGTAGAATCAGCATGAGAGATTTTCATAAGAAATATGGCGTGAATTTTAGTAGTGTTTTGGTTTTGCTGGAATATCATTATTATATAGTTTCTTTTATTAATTTATCAGAGCAAAAGTTTTATGTTTCTTAAAGAAATGGCTTTATATGCTCTGATTACTGATTCTGATTTTTTGCATTATTCTTAAAGCTAATGCTAGTGATAGAAGAATGAGCTTCTTTTAATTTTCTTTACTGTAAACAATGACAATATGCATGAACTAGTGCTTCTTTGTTTTTTTTTTAAGTTTTCACAGGATTAATTGTTAAGGTAAGGTAATTGGCATATTGTTATAATTCCCATAAAGTATTGGGTTTCCTTTTTATGACAGATGTATAGTACATTAATGTATGTAGATCCTAAGTATGCAAAGTATATTATTACAATTTTATTTTGGAGTGTGTGAATTATGGTTTATTAAGTTGTGTATTTTGTGTATTTGTTTTTACAATTAAATATTTGGAATAACTTTCTCTTAGACTTGATTTGAGTTTTGGTATTCATCATTGAATAAGATTAGTTTTAAAAGTCTACCAGATTTTGAATCAAATTAAGTTAGATTTTACCAAGTGTAGTAAGGAGATATCTCAAGAATATACACCACAGTGATGTTTAGAATGTTTTACCCTGTGTAGGATAAAAGCAGATATTCATTATGTGTGTAAAACATGACCTGCTCTAAAGTGTATATCAAAATATGAACCATTACCAACTATTAATTTGCCATGACTGCACACAGGGTCTCACAGCAGCACCTTCTGAAGGTCGTTCCTCCACAGCAAGCCCAATGCTTGACGGCAAACACTGGGGTCCCGAACGCACTGTTGAGGTAATATGTTTAGGATATAGAGAACAATTATAAAAAAATGTATAAACACTTAATAATTTTGGTCATTTTCTGACCAGGAAAACTCATTACTAGGTAACAGATTCACAATATATCATGCAATAACACCATGATATTCTTTACTAACTATCAATTTCTTTAGGTGCGTCGGGATGACAAGAACTCCCTTGGCATCTCCATTGTTGGGGGTAAAGTTGACCTTAGCTGGTCTGGGTCTTCTGTGACTGGCATCTTCATCAAAAATGTGCTACCAGATTCTCCAGCAGGAAAAGGAGGTCACCTGAAGGTGGGTAGTAAACTAAACATTTAATTATTGATAGTGATTTTTATTTAGGTGCACAGCTTTATTAGTAAGAGATTTACATTTTTCTAGTAAAACGGTTTCTTAAAATTTCCTTATACCTTAATCTGGAAATACAACAAACCTAAGAATCAAGAAGAATGTTTCATAAAGTATGTTAACTACTCTCCAGTATGTTAAAAAATACGGATCATCAGGATTAAGTGTGTATCTATGTCTATGAATATATGTAATATGTATGCAATAATTTACCATTACATTTTTTATGAAAAAAAGGAAAAGCCCATAGGATGGAGAGGATTCAGTTATTAAAGAAAAAAGCAAAATATTAGTTTATAGATTGCTTTCCTCTAATTAACGTACCCTTATTCTTATTTTATTACTTATCCATGTATTCATTAAGATTTTTGAGGTAACCAGTATGGTGTATCTGTTCCCATATAACTTTTTCTTGACATGAACAGACTGGTGACCGTATCCTTGAAGTTGAAGGGGTTGACCTTCGTGGTGCCACCCATGAAAAAGCAGTTGAAGTCATCAAGAAAACGGGAAATCCTGTTACTTTTGTTGTGCAAAGTCTTGTGCAATGGGTAAGACATAATTCAACCTTGTGTCATTTTTGTGTTCATTTTTTCTTGAAAAATTATATTTCATGATTTATATATATATATATATATATATATTTTATGTGGTCTTGATTATATGAATCCCACGTTATTGATTTTTATTTGAAAGTCAGTGTTAGCATGGAATGATATACTTTACAGACACCTGCCAACTCAGCGCCTCCTTCGCGAGATGTAAGCCGCCTGGGCACTCGGATGCCTAACTCCATCTCTCCTGCTAGAACACCAACTCCAGAACTCATCCAGGTAAGCTGCGCACCCCCCACTACGCCATCTACAGCATCCACTATTTCACCTGCCATGGAAACCATCATCCAGCCAGATGTGACAGACCCATATGGAGTTGTTCACACCACAGGACTAAAGGATTTCACCAATATCAGAGCTTCGCCAGAAGAAGTTTTTGTTCGTACGAAAGATACCCTACAGACTTACATAGCGGGGAGTGACAGTCCTAGTTTTGCGCGTGAGTGTGATCCCATTAGGCCAGACTTCCCCTCCACTGACCCTACCAGTGATAGTGTCAGTCAGTCTCAACCATCGGCTAGGGACATAATACTTGCCGACCCTCCTGCAGCAGCTCTCGACGCTTCTTTCTCTTCACCCTCTTATTCTTCTGTGTATTCTTCTTCTTACTGTTCTGTCGGCACCTCCAAACATGTGTGCTCCACCATGGCTCATGCCTTTACCACTACTACCACTACTTCATCCATCATTCCCACCACTACCCACACCACCACCACTGCCTCTACCCCACTGATGCCCTCTAGGAATCACTACCATACCCCCCACACAGTTGCTGCAGCATTCACATTACCTCCCCAGGCCAGCACTCCACTCAGCGAAGGCAGCTCTCACCAGCAGCCGATACAGCCTACGGAAAGACAACATCCGCCGGACCCAAGAGTAACATTCCCAGTAGCACCGCCAATACCAGAGACTTCAACTCCAATTCATGAATTGTATCCAGAACCAGTGAAATTTGTGCCAGAATCTCCAATATCGGAACCTGATGACCCTGACCCATTAGTTAATCCATATTATTATTATGCTCATGCTGCTCTTGCACACTGGCATGAACGTGCACAGAGGACTCAGGAACAAGTGCCAGAAGGTGATGGAAATAATAGTGATCAAGAAAACAGTACAAGCAGTAGTAGTGCAAGTAGTACAGCAAGTCGAAGATTTCTTCAACTTAGGAGTTTTGGTAACAGCTCTGAGGTACAGGGACGAACAGTTACAGAAAATAAATTGGACACACCTCCATCAGATGTTCCCCTGATGGATACACCCCCATCAGATGTGCCTCCTATGGATGATTCTCCTGAAGATGAACCAAAACCAAGTGAAGTACCAGTAGTAGAAATTGAACCATTGACTAAGGAGATTCATAACCTGCAAACAGAACCTGCAGCAGTTCCTCCTCTTCCTATTATAACTAAGTGTACTGACCATATAGAAAATGCCCCTCATCCAACCCGCCTTATGCTAGATGATTTCCCATTAGACCTGCCCTTGGACGACCCACCAGTAGGTGCATACACTTATGACTGGAGAACAGACCCGCACCTTTATCAGGGCTGGTGGTGTGTGCAAGGATCCGTCAGCGAACATTTAGCAGCTCAAGTTCCCACGCAGCCAGTCTCCCCTTACGACAGTCCTGCTGATACACCCACGCCAAATACCCCCACCACTGACCAGGTGAGGCTGCCCATCAGCATTCTGCCCACTCATGCCTATGCCCCAAATCCTCCTAGTTTCCTACATCCTGATTGGGCACTAAAAGTTATTGGGCATAGCATGAAGCTAACCTGTGATGTAGCCCAAAGGGACACTATTAGTGTGCACAACATCACTATCCCCTAACTACTCTCAGTTACACCCTGTCCATATGTAATGTGCACATTTTATTTCCCAGTCTGTTTTCATAAGGTGACTATCCTCCCCACCTTTGTGTGTACAGTATATCAATATCCTTCTCTTACCTCCATGGCAGTATCATAAATTACACTGCATATTCACATCATTGCCCCATTATGTTGGTATTTACTGAATATATTCAGTATTCACAGTTTTTTTTTTATTGTTTATATTATCCAGACCAAAGTGAAGATCTTAATAACATGATATATTATGATGTGACCAGTATGATATGAAGCAGTGGAATCCCCTAACGTGGTAAAATATTCCCTCTTATTTTTCTCCCTCATTATACAGCTTTACTGTGAACACTAGTTATTTAGATTTAATCAAATTTTTGCAGCAGTTGATGAATATGCACTAATAAGTATGCACTATCTCACTGTATCCCAGGCCTACACCAATTGATAATGAACAATCTATAGATGGCTGTAAATATGTTAAGGCACATAGACTTTAGTATACTACTGTTCTTACTCAGAATATGATATAAATCCCAGTCTTAAGCCCTTTGCAATTCATGCTCCACCTCCAGTGTGAATCACTAGACCAGACTTTTCCTTTCCCATCATGTCCTTGTACCTTCTGCCTGCTTCCCCTTCTCTCTGCATGAAGCTCTCTGATCTTATTTTCCTCTCATGCTGACCCAGTGACAGAGAGTGCATTAGATTTCAGAAAATATAGATAGCCAATAGTCAACCTAGCCTAGATTTGACCCATTGTCATGACACTGCATGAGAAGGTGAGCAGTAAGTAGTTACCCATGACAAATACCAAGCTTATGCAATGATCCTGGAAAGGACTCTTTCATGAATGTACAGTATTAGCTGAGTACAAACAATATCTTGTGCTCTATAGTGTATGTCATTCTTGATGATAGAAGCATTGGATTTTATATGCAAAATAAGTCCATGCCATAAGATATGTGGCTTACTACACAGGCAAAGGAAATCTGACACCACCTGGGATCTTAGACACCAGCAGCATAACTGGTTTGAGAGAGGGGTGTGTGTGTATCAGTGTGACCAGGTCTTTTGGGTTACCAACTTCCGTTTATTGTACAATGCTGCGTTATTGTTTTTGTTTTGGAGAATAAAGGATATTGCTGCACATTCTTTATCTTTATGAGGGTGTAGGATATGTAGGCATTATGAGTGGTGCATATAGTGCATATATGCATATATTTTAATCTGTTTTATTTATCTTTGATGTCTTACTTTCTGTTATTATTCATATAATTACAATGAAGTCTGATGTTTTGTTTCAGAATAAATTATTTCTACATATGTACATATTATAAAACTATCATACAAAAATGTATTTTAGCAAAACATGATTTCCATAAAAGACCAGAGATATATAATTTTACTAATAAATGTGTGGAAACTGTTTAGCTGTTGTGAAGGATAAAGCAACAGGAAACTGACTTAGTTTACCTCTGACATGTGTAGTGTAAACATAAATTTCATAAACATAGTAGTGTTATTGTGGATGATAAGTTATAACTGGTCGAATTAGTTGAACGTAACTATATCTGGTAATTTTTGCTTAGAAAATACAAATAAAGAAAACAATTAAATAAAATGTGATCTAAAGATTATTTTTCTGTTTATAATGCACATCTTAAATGTATGTTTGTGAAAGTTTAAACTTATTATAATCATGAGACGTTCATTTCGAGATTGGCTGATTATATTTGGTGGACATCGTGTAGCCAAGTTTCTAAAAAGTGTAGGTACAATTTGATTCTTGCTATAATTTTTCTTTTTTTTTTCAGATTTGGAAATATTTTTGTAGTTACAATGTAATTGTGCTACTGGTTCTGTTAAGTGATTTAAAAAAATTATTTATTAAATAATTTATGAAACTCTAATTTTAAAGATACAAAAGTCACACTGATACACATTGGTTAACCTATCCTCATGACAGATACAAAAATGAAATACAGTAAAATGCATTCATGTCAACCATTTTCTTAATCCAGGCAAGATTTCTGTTCATACCATTGGGAATTAAAAATACATTTTTTTATTTTGTAAGAACAGTTGTATGATACATCTATAAACTAACACATGACAATAAAGTTCATGCTAAATAAGTAGTTATTAAAGCATTAAATTCCTCATCATAGTTGTGTTATGTTATACATAACTTGGTAAAACCAGCATGTTTTCCTGTAGTTCTTAGAAAATTTACTGTGCCATGAATAAGAAAAGCATTTGATATTATCAAGGTGAACATTGATTTTGTATCAAAGATTTGTAAGGTTGATATGTGATGTTGTGTATAGTATATGCAGTATTTACACACACACACCATAATTGCTTGCTAGTATTCTGTATGATATGAGTTTCATATTGATTTTGTTATATTTATTTTCTAAAACTGAATTACAGTGTGATTTAAAAACTTGACAGATAATTTCCTTTAGTTATTGACTCTAATAATGATGCATCCTGTAACTTTTGATATTAAATATGGAATGCTTGTTCATTGAATAATTAATCTTGTTCCTTAATTAATAAACTTTATGCTTTTTGCTTTTATTTATTTTTAGTAAGAGAATTTTAGTTTACCCCCAAATGAGTAAGTATAATGTGAGGTTTCGTAAAGTATATAAAGTTTTGATTTGAAAGATTTTTCTTAACTAGACATTTTTATTATTCAAGTAAATCATAACTGTCATAGTCATAAGTGATATATAGCTTTACAAATTTCTTAAATATCTGTCAAAAGAATAGTTATTATGCTGAGAGTTGTCAGTATTTCTGAAATAAAAAATGCAGCTTTGTGTTAAGTGCCATTATGTTTTGCAATATGATTTATTCAGGTTTTATTGGATATCTTTATACAAAACTTTTGTGTTCGAACTTTTCATATTGTTTTTTAATAAACATCAATCTTTATAATATATATTTGTTTACAGTTTATAATTTTGTATGTTTCAGTGTATTGTTTTGTACAGTTTTATTGTTTGTATTTCTTTTACTTTTTATAATGTACACACATACACACATACACACATACACACATACACACATACACACATACACACATACACACATACACACATACACACATACACACATACACACATACACACATACACACATACACACATACACACATACACACATACACACATACACACATACACACATACACACATACACACATACACACATACACACATACACACATACACACATACACACATACACACATACACACATACACACATACACACATACACACATACACACATACACACATACACACATACACACATACACACATACACACATACACACATACACACATACACACATACACACATACACACATACACACATACACACATACACACATACACACATACACACATACACACATACACACATACACACATACACACATACACACATACACACATACACACATACACACATACACACATACACACATACACACATACACACATACACACATACACACATACACACATACACACATACACACATACACACATACACACATACACACATACACACATACACACATACACACATACACACATACACACATACACACATACACACATACACACATACACACATACACACATACACACATACACACATACACACATACACACATACACACATACACACATACACACATACACACATACACACATACACACATACACACATACACACATACACACATACACACATACACACATACACACATACACACATACACACATACACACATACACACATACACACATACACACATACACACATACACACATACACACATACACACATACACACATACACACATACACACATACACACATACACACATACACACATACACACATACACACATACACACATACACACATACACACATACACACATACACACATACACACATACACACATACACACATACACACATACACACATACACACATACACACATACACACATACACACATACACACATACACACATACACACATACACACATACACACATACACACATACACACATACACACATACACACATACACACATACACACATACACACATACACACATACACACATACACACATACACACATACACACATACACACATACACACATACACACATACACACATACACACATACACACATACACACATACACACATACACACATACACACATACACACATACACACATACACACATACACACATACACACATACACACATACACACATACACACATACACACATACACACATACACACATACACACATACACACATACACACATACACACATACACACATACACACATACACACATACACACATACACACATACACACATACACACATACACACATACACACATACACACATACACACATACACACATACACACATACACACATACACACATACACACATACACACATACACACATACACACATACACACATACACACATACACACATACACACATACACACATACACACATACACACATACACACATACACACATACACACATACACACATACACACATACACACATACACACATACACACATACACACATACACACATACACACATACACACATACACACATACACACATACACACATACACACATACACACATACACACATACACACATACACACATACACACATACACACATACACACATACACACATACACACATACACACATACACACATACACACATACACACATACACACATACACACATACACACATACACACATACACACATACACACATACACACATACACACATACACACATACACACATACACACATACACACATACACACATACACACATACACACATACACACATACACACATACACACATACACACATACACACATACACACATACACACATACACACATACACACATACACACATACACACATACACACATACACACATACACACATACACACATACACACATACACACATACACACATACACACATACACACATACACACATACACACATACACACATACACACATACACACATACACACATACACACATACACACATACACACATACACACATACACACATACACACATACACACATACACACATACACACATACACACATACACACATACACACATACACACATACACACATACACACATACACACATACACACATACACACATACACACATACACACATACACACATACACACATACACACATACACACATACACACATACACACATACACACATACACACATACACACATACACACATACACACATACACACATACACACATACACACATACACACATACACACATACACACATACACACATACACACATACACACATACACACATACACACATACACACATACACACATACACACATACACACATACACACATACACACATACACACATACACACATACACACATACACACATACACACATACACACATACACACATACACACATACACACATACACACATACACACATACACACATATATGTATGTACATGTGTGTGTGCACTTGTACATGTATATATACATTTTTTTCTTTATTGTTTTTAGTAGTCTTTTTTACCTCCACATTTTATGTTTTTAATTTGTAATATTCTTGTATTTTTCTTAGGAATCATACAGATGATGTCAATTTTGGTTATTAATTATGTAAGGAAGTAGTGTATAAACAAATATCTCCATTAATTTGATGAAAGCTTTTCTTTCGACACATAAAACAATACCTTTATTATTTGAAAGTGTCGTCATTGTCATTTCCTGATGATTTGACAATTTTATAATATTATGTAATTTTTAAAAACTAGCAGTTACAGCTAATCTTAAATTATTAGCTTTATTAATGATATAAAATTATCTGCACAAATATTAAAGTGAGCATAATACTGTATTTTTATAACAAAGAAAAATCATTATTTTCTTTTCAGTATGTAGTTATATACAATATATACAGTACATCCTTTTAACTAGTCTTGATTAACAATAATACAGATTGCTATTTAAATTAGTGGAGATATTGTATGTAAGGAACTATATCAAAGACAATTTTTCAGATATATTTAGGATTATGATATGTCATATTTATTGTGACTGATTTTTTATATAAAGTTTTGTTTTGTTCTCTTTTTTACTGATCTGTACACATGTGCAGCTTATACTAATTTTTTTGTTGTTATTGATATTATGTCAATATTTTTTGTTGTTCATTTTTACCACAGTGTTTTCATGCAATATATTCTGTTTGTTGGCAGTTGGAAATCTATACTAATGTGATCATTTTTGATAGTGAAGTCATGTGCCTTGTCTGATTTAATTGATAATGAAAATATCCTTTTTATTCTGCTTGATGCATTTCATTATTTTTGAAAACTATATGCATGAATATTTTTATAAGGAATTAGATATGAATAAACTTTAGTAGAGCCTCTGATATAATTACAGTGTTGTTAAAAACACATCTTTTGATATGGCTCATGCTGGCCATCAGAATTGTTTGCCACAAAAGATCCTAGTTTTTTCATATTCATCTTTTAAGTTGCTTGACAATGACAGTTCTGTATATCCATTCATACGCATCACTTTGATATCATTCTGCTGGCATATTTATGTTAATGTATGATTAATTATTATTCAAATCATTTCCATTATAATAATTTTGAATTAATTGTGTTATTATTATTATTATTATTTTATACATGTATGCAGGGTTTTTTAATGGATTTTCATTTGCATTGTTTTGCAGTGATGGATATTTTTAAAAATATCTGTTCATGTATGATTTTGAGTTCATTGCAAATATTATTTATTGGTGCTTTCTAGTTTTGTTCAGTTTGCTAATTCATTTCAGAATCATGGCATTGTCTCAAATTGTGTGCCTTCATTATCTTTTAATTCAAACAAATCAAACTCCAATATGTAGATACACTGAATACATGAAACTGCCAAACGCTTCCTCCACGGCAAGTTCAAAACAGTGAGGACCTAATCTATGTTTTCCTATCTTTTTCCCCTTCTCAGCCGGGTTTGCCGGACCACAAGAAGCAGGAGATCCAGGCTAATCTACACCATCCTCTGAACCGCCGTCAGACCACAGAAGACTCGGAGGATGAGGCAGACGATGAGCGTTATGAGCAGGGTCGCATCGAGACCAAGAAGGGTGTGGAGGTATGTGTGGGGCGATGTCAGTTCTATTACTGTTGGTTTTGATGTAATTTATATTAGTTTTCTTTATTCTGCAGTGTTTTTTATTCGATTCACGCATTTGTTTGTTGTGTTTTTGCAGTATTTGGTTCACAGTAGGTTAATGCTACAATGGTATTCTTTTCCTCCAAGATTGATCGAGCTAGTGCTGGTGCCATCAGACGATCAAAGGCAGACAAGGCTGCGGATCAGGAGGAAGAGGATGAATTTGGATACACCAAAAGTAAGTGTTCCATGAAACATTTGTTTAAAGATTTCCGGGTTTGTTGATTCTTCCAGTATGAC